TGACTAGGACATCCTGACCACAAACTGTTCACTTACATGTGTCTGTCTCCTCAGCTAGATTTTGGACTTCTGAAGGCCAAGAGGCTTCATTTCTTCCTTCCATAAAAATTTCTTGAACAACTGCTGTTCTCTATTCTGTGCTAGGACAAGGTGCTGAGTCACACACGGTCCTTGCTTTCAAGATGCAAGCAGACGTTGGTGGCTTTGCATTCAGCTAGTGTATATTGGATGAAGGAAATGAATATGGATAAAATGAGTGGGGAGGAGTGAACAGTTTTGTACTGAGGGGGACCTGGGTTCTAACTGCATAAACTTGCATAAGAGACTTATCATGATTTCATACCTGCAAAATGGAGAAAATAATACCTAACTATAGGGCTGTTAGAATGATTAGCGTGTATATAAATAATGATCCCAATTACTGAGGGTCTAGTGTTCCAGCAGAGTTTTAGTGGACATAAGTAGAGTCTCAGATGGGTCAAAAGAGCAAGAGACCAGCATCATGGAAGAACAGGGTGGTAGATAGGGAGCCAGGCCAACACCCAGGACTTCCTGTCTCCTAGGGCCCTGCACTTGCCACCACAGCCATGCCACTACCAGTGGGTGAGACAGCTCCCAGGGGTGGGGGGTGGTCTGCTCACAGCTACAGGTGGACAAGGCTCCTCTTCCTCAAGTGTCCATTTCACCCAAGATTTTGGGAACAATGTTGAACTATTGTAACAGCCTCATTTCAGGGTAGAGCATAAAAACTTAATAATAATAACTAATGTTTATGAGCACAATTCTCTCTAAGAGAGAGAAAAAGGACCTCCTTTTAACCACTTTGAAAATAGTGACTCTTCTTTCCTTTTTCCTTCCTTCCATCAGCTTCCCTCTAATAATGATCAATATTTTGCCATTCTATTCCCTTCTAGTTTTTTAGCAATACTTTATTTTTAAAAAATTTTAATTATAATCAACATATAGTATTATATTTGTTTCAGGGGTACAACATAGTGATTAAACATTTCTATAACTTAAAAAGTGAACTCCCCATAAGTCTAGTACCCGTCTGACACCATACATAGTTATTACAATATTATTGACTATATTCCCTGTGCTGTACTTTACAACCTCGTGACTGTTTTTGCAATTGGCAATTTGTTCTTAATCCCTTTCACTTTTTTACCCAGATCTCCAACCCGCCTCCCCTAGGGCAATCACCAGTCTGTTCTCTGTATCTATTGAGTCTATTTCTGTTTTGTTTCTTTATTTTTTTGGATTCCACATATAAATGAAATTATACAGTATTTATCTTTCTCTGGTAACTCTTTCTTACTAGTGATCCTTACTCCTTTCCCTGGTTGGTCCCGCATTCTACACTTCAAGAAACCAAAACAAAGTCCTCCCACCAGTCAGTGGCAGAGGTCGGATTTGAACCAAATAGAGAGGTCCCAGTTTTAACAATTTCGATATGACTGTTTAGACAAACGTGAATTTCAAAGGCAATTTTTCTGATGACCTGAGGGTGCCAGGGCCGTGCTTATCCTGTTGCCCACCATCTCGGGCATGGACAGAGAGAGGACTTGGAGGACCGTTGCAGAAGCGCTGTGCTGCACGGGCTGCGTGCACACGTGATGTTTAAGGATCGCGCGAGTGTGTGTGTGCACGCGTGTGCGCAGAAAGAGCATTGCACACTGTAGGTGATGTTGGCTTAATTAGAGTAGGAAGACTATTAACAGGTTATTTGTGAATGCCCCCAAGATCAGGAGGTGTATCAGAATTGAATTACACTGTGTGAGGCTGATTGGCGGGCCATGTAACGTGGGAAAGTAAGTTCACAATCTTGCCTTTATTGGCACAGTTTGTGAAGTAGGCCTGAAAGCCATGTCCCCAGACCCACGGTCTGGAGCTATAATTATTGAAGTAAAAGAAAAAAATAGAAAAACAACCCAAAACTGGAAACCTAATTGGAAATGTGATAAGCAGCAATTAGGCAGCCTATTTCAGGAAGCAAATGAACAAAATGAGCAGATGCCAACTCTAGTGACTTGGGAAAAAGGATGGACACTTGTTTAAAAGAAAAGTTTCCTGAGTTTTCAGTCAGTCACCTAGGAAAGTGATTGCCCTCAGGGCTGCACAGCTAACACATCGTTTGCGTGGAGAACTTAAAACCTTCACAAGGTACAAACTCCTAGGCACACAGGGCCCGCATTCAAACCTTGCTGACTGGGGCAAGGGACCTCGTCCCTGTAGCGGGCACTTGGAGATTGACTGCCAACTGGGAATGCCCCTGACCTTGCAGTAGCAAGAACTGAAATAACCCTGGCAAAATGGAGCCGGCAGGGGGTTAGACGACCTTGGCTCCTGTTTTGGCGGAGGCTCTTGGGCTGGAGCCCAGAGTCTGTGAGCCTTTGAGGAATGACTTTCCCTGGGCTCCCTGAGGGCCAGCCCCTCCCCTCCAGGGCAAGCTGCATCTTCCTTCTCTGTTTCAGAGGCTAAGGAATCAGATCCTGGGACCCTGGAGTTTTCCGGAGGCTTCCTTTGTCCTCTAACTATGCTTCATCTCCTCCGAGAGCAGGAGTGCGGGCCCTGGTGTCTGACTGCCTCAGTTCAAGTCCTGGCCCAAAGATGGCTCTCTGTGGCACTGTTGGCAAGGAAGGCCTCACCCGCTGCCTCAGTTTCCTCATCTCTAATAGGGAGGTGGGAGTACCTCCTAAGTCTGTGGTGAAGATTAAAGCCAGTAAAGAAAATGAAAACAGTTTGACACTTACGGAGTGCTCAATATATGTTAGCAATTAACATGGATTTGCTCCCTTGTGTGGGGCTAACTTCAATCACTGATCTTCTCATCCCCTGTAGTTGCCAAAAATAAGTACCATTATGTACTTACTGCATTTAAAAAAAAATCAATGTGTGTTTCTTAACTCGGCTATATATCAGGCAATAATATTTGTGAAGGCCCAGGCTTAATGTGTTTATTTTTTTCTAATCCATTAAGAGAAAAAAACAGACCCACCTAAAGAATGTTTTTAGAGGTTGGCACACTCTGAATCAACCGAAACACCAGTGCACATTTCACACATTAGGCAATATTGTCCACATATATCCATTCATCTTCCAGCGGCTCTCTCAGCAAGAATTTACACAACGCTGATCAGGTGGGTGAAGAGCACGCTGGGCAACAGAAATGAGAAGGCATCTTCCCTGCCCTCACTGAGCAGAGGGATGAGTCGTAGAGCATTCCATCATGGCGAGTGGGGGTGAGGCAGTGGCTCTCATCCCACGGAGCAGGGCAGTTCCCCCAGGGGACAGCATGAAGTAGAGAGAAGAACCAAGCATTACCCCAAATTACTATCCCAAGTGAGAACTCCAGATTCTCATCTCAAGACAACTTGGCTTTCGCACGCTGATTCTACCTCTGTGAGACCACAGGCTTCTTCCTTGAGTTCTTCGAGCATGGATTTCTCACCTGGAAAAGGGGCGCTCTGCCTGGCTCATGGAGCTGGTGGAGGCTTAAACCTGCTGCCTCCGCAGGTACTAGGTGAAGGTGAGCCGCCTCCGGTGCTCGATCCTCACTCAGGACAGAAACCTTCCTGTTCTCCAGGCTTGTAGTGCATGCCGTCTTCCTGCGGTGAATGCTCTCTAGGACTTAACTCAAAATCTGCCTCTTTGGGAAAGCGGGCCTTGGCATACTAAACCAACTTAACATTGGCCAACAGGTATGAAGGCTTTCCAAGGTCAAGACACAACTCCAAGAGCCTTGCATTTCTTTCTTTTTTTTTTTTTAAGATTTTACTTATTTATTTTTTAGAGAAGGAAGGGAGGGAGAGAGAGAAACATCAATGTGCAGTTGCTGGGGGTCATGGCCTGCATTTATTTCTTGTCACAACAGTATCTCACATAGGCTGAGGCCTGTTAAAGTACCATTTGAAACTGAGGCACAGAGAAGTGATGTAATTTGCCCAGGTTGCAGAGCTGGTAAAGGGAGGAGCAGGTAACTCTGAAAGTTAGGACCCACTAACATTGCCAAGCTGTTGGCTAAGATAGGTATATACTTATACCCACAGTAGTACAGGACCACATCATCCAGCTCAGTGATTTCCAATGTCACGATATTTGGTGACATCTTTGGTTGTCACAGCTGTACGTGTGGGTGCTACCGGTATCTACTAGGGAGGTCAAGGATGCTGTTATACAACTTACTATGCAGGGGACAGGCCCTTCCCCAAACAATTGTCTAACACAAAAATGTCAGGGGTGCTGAGGTTTAGCAGCTCGGACATAGGCACTATTATCTTAATTATTCAGAACTATAACTATTAAGAGCCCAGCTGAGAACTCAGAAGCCACAGTATCCTTGATTCCAAAACAGTCAGCTAAAAGTTGGAGCAAAAAACCCCACACCTACCTTGTCACCAGAAAGTCTGTAAGCAACGACCTGGAGCCAGCTGCCCCAGGCACGTCTGCCTGGTGATGCAGATAAGCTGACTGCAAGGCTCAGGGGGGATACCTGTCTCACTAGGGAGGAAGAGGGAGGAAGCAGAACACCTGGCAGAAGTCGAAAAGCTAGTCAAGAGCCAGCTGCCAGCCAGAGGAAAGGAGAAAATAGGAGAAAGAAGCATGTGCTCTTAGCAGCTTCCCTGGCCGTGTGAAGCCTTGGGAGGAGCGGCCGTGTAGATGGAGGCAGCTCCCTGCATGGAGGGGAGAAGGAACAGGCTTAGATGGCAGCTGGGAGATTCAGAGGGACCTGCCAGGGCCTCGGGGTAAGGGGAATGCCACCCATAGCATCTGCAGCATCTCCTTATTGAACTTCCACAAATGCTTTTTTTTTAAAGGGACCTTAGGCTGTTGGTTGAAGAAGATGACGAGAATGGAAAAGTTGAAGAGGATTTGTCTCATGATATATTTCTACATAAACTGCAAAATGGCTGAGTGGGGGCTAAGGGGCTTAGCTACTATAAACAGGAACAGAGGCTAAAGGCCTTAGCTATCATGAGTAGGAACAGGAGGCAAGAAGCTGACCTGAGTGTTTTTGCTTTATTCAATCTAATAAATGTTTTATTTATATAAAAGACAAATGACGCACAGTATGAAAATAAGTGCTTGAGACATTTGATATAAAAAGAGTATATAGCATTCACATTCCTATTTTAATACATGAGTACGGTTGAAGTGTTCCATAAAAGAATAAAACTTTCCCTTTATGTATAGTAGTAAAAAAAAGTCAGTATTTTTAGGAACTACAGGTTATTCCTTGGTCTTTTTCTTGAATAAGAAAACAAACAAACAGAACAAGCCACAGTATCATCTGATACTACATTCCAGTTTATGCTGACCATCATCACCCAGAAGTGATAAAGCTCCTTTGAATCATTAATGGACCAGTATTCTAGAAATTCACCACTAGAGGTCAATGAGCAACAGCTATTGGGATGGTGGCAACAGCCTTCAAGTGCACGGAATTTCTGGGCACTTCACTGGTATTGCAGCCAACCGGCCCTTAATCCTCTCGGCCCGCCCCCACAGGGCAGGGCGCCTAGAAGTCCCACCTAATCCCCAACTTCAGCACATCGGATTAAACCCCAATGAGATGAGATCTTCCCAAATCCAGATAGAACTGGTTTGACACTGCTAGTCCCTCTCTAATATTCCTATTTGGCTGAAAATAAGTAGCTTCAAAAACATTTTTTTTAAAAAAGAGATTATTTGCAGCATGAACACTTGTTTGTAGATAAATAAGTTTCCTGTGCTGTATTAAAGCTCATTCTTTGTTCTTGTTCCACACGGACGCAGATTTCCCACCTGCAAATAGGACTCCTGTGTTCCACACTCAAATCCTCATTAGGGAATTCTGCAAGGGCTGGGAAGGCTGCTTCCGTAGCGGGGCTGGTTATCAGGAAGCAAGCTCCTTGGAGGAAGGGGCCTGTCTCCCTAATACAGAGGGGACCTCTTACTATATAGATAAAATAGATACAAGACACCAGGATTAATTGGGACCTCTTAGAGGTCCCCCCGCCTTTTTTTAAGGCCAATTGCAAATCTCAACCCCAGATTGAGGAGAGGGGAGGAATCAAAGTCATATTATACAGCCAGAGAATGACTGCTTGAATGCACATTTCTTACAAAGGACATTGGTTTTGGGCAGGTTTGATTCCCAGAATGCGGTGGGGGTGGGCAGAAAATAGACATGTTTATGTCAACAAGTGAAGCAGCTTTGTAAGTGCGTCCACACCTTCATTTTATGAATGATGCAGGTTAGCGAGAACGGGAAACCACTTGCTATCTATTCTCACTCGAGGATCCAGATTGTGTGTGTGTGTGTGTCTGTGTGTGTGTGTGTGTGTGATCTCCAAATGTTTAAAAAGTGGCTCACTTTTGTTCAATGCAGTGCTGGCCAAGCGAAACACATGTTCAGAGTGCCTGACTTGATGGTCTTGACTGGGGCAGTATCATGCAGCTCAGATCCTTTCCGCTAGGGCCAAAACAGGCTTGAGCATTCAGGAACCCAGACAATGGGACCTATTGGGGTTGCTTAGAAAGCTAGAGACTCACACCGAGTTGTGTTGAAAAATTAAACACAAGGAACCCTGGGAAGATTTGATCCTTTTTAGAAAAGCGAGAAGGCCTGGGAGTAAACAAGAGTTACATAGGCATAGGGGGGAAATAAATATATATATATATATATCTCTTATTAGTAGAAGGTGTGGCAATTTGATGGATAAGGAAATATGTCCCGATTTTTCTGCCCCCTGTAAAGAAAAAGATGGGGCTCAAAATGTTTAAACTATTAGAGATGGGGCAAAGTTTCTGAGCTAGCTGAGGAAGGTGGTTCACAAGCTGATGTGGGGCTTGAAGCTCAATGAACAGTCCAGGAGAAACAGTGGCACACAGGAACCCCAGGATCTGGTCCCTAAAACAGTGCGACTATAAATAGCTCCATAGCCAGATGAGGACCCACACGCAGGGAATTATATTGCAAAAGCGAGTGCAAAGTGGCCGTAGCAGGCTCTGAGACTTGGAGCCGCTCTCCTAATGCAAGGCGCCTCCTTGTGTAGTCAGAGAACAATCCATCCATGTGTGATTGTCAAGTGCTAATGTTGTCATGGATCCTTTCTTCTGCACGCAGCTCTGGAACTCTCCAATCAAATCAATTTCCTGGGAATATCTGATCTTTTTCTTTGTCTGTTTCCAGAGTATGGCTATATATAGATATATATATATAAAACATAGCTATTCCATATTTATATACAGGCATTAATAAAGTGCAAATGTTATTAGCTATTGTAAAGATCAATCTCATTTCCTGAGGAACTGCTAACACAGCTTATCCTATGACAATGTCAAAGGCATAGAATGCTTCATGTCACTCACTCCCTGTCACTGTTGTTGCTGCTCAATCCCACAGCCTACAGGGAGGGGAGTGAGCCCTGCTATTCCAGGGAGCATCCATTGGTTTAGCGGCAGCTTCCTGCTGCCTCTGTTCTTTGGCAACAGGGGTGACCTCTTTGGACTTGGGCCAGCCCGCCCCGGAAGAGCTATTTGGTAGTGCCCAGCGAGCCATCTTCGGGAATCTTCTCCTCGGAGCAGCTCCTCCCCGAGAGTCTGTCCAGGTGCTCCAGCTCGCTGAAGCGCTCCGCCACACACTGGGCTGTGAGACGGGCCTCTGGGTCGTGGTCCCAGCACTCGGTCAGAGTCTCACACACCATCTGGATGCCCTGCAGAGGGAGAGAAGTCCACAGGCAACGTGAGTTGGTGGGTCGGTGGGCTCCACGGAGGGCAAGGTGGTCTGCTGACCTTGCTCCTGCAGTGCAAGCTGGGTGCCCTGATCACGTGCCGACAGAGCGCCCACAGCATGAGGCCAGCAGGTGGCACGTAGGCTGCGGAAGCTGTGCAGGTGGCTGTGCACTGCCCTGGAAGCCTGCTGTACCTGGTTCCTCTGGTACCTTTCGATCACATTAAGTTGTAAAATGGAGAGACAGTACAAGGATCCGTCAGTAGGCCTCTGGGATACAGAAGCATCTCCAGTACCTGAAAAGTCCCATTTCATGCCTTTCTACTTTGTAGAGCAGTTTTATTTAGGTTCACAGCAAAACCGAGTGCGAAGTAGAGAGAGTTCCCACATCCCCTTGCCACTGCCCAGTCTCCTCCACATCAACAACTTGCATCTCTGTGGTCCATCTGTTAAAACCAATGAACCAACGTTGACGCATCAACTGAAGTCCACAGTTTACATTAGAATACACGCTACGTGTTTGACAAACGTATAATGACATGTACCTAACCCTATAGTATCCCACAGAGTACGTGCACTACCCTGCAGATCCCCTCTGCCCCACCCGGCCGCCCTCCTTCCTCCCCTGCCCCCAAGTCCCCGACAACCACTGATCTTTTTACCGTCTCTGTGGTGTTGCCTTTTCCACAACGTCTTGTAGTCAGAACCACATACGTATTTATATTTTAACAGGACCCAATACCCTAGCCAGAGGGACGTCCAGGCATGAGTCTGGTTTTGTTTTGTCAAGTCCACAGGTTGTGCGGGGTGATCTGGTAGCCACTGCCAAGGACAGCCTCCGTTCTGCCCCACTCCGCTCCAACATCAGGCTGGACCCTGCGACACAGCTGTCTGGACGTCAGACCTGCTTGACGCCAGGCCTCTTCTGAGGGTCCGGCCTCACCCCACTCACAAAGCCCGTTCAGGAAATGTTACCCAGTACTGTTGCACGGGTCTTCTTTCAGGGCCCTCAGGTTTATTTTACGTTGCAAATGTTTTTACTATCATCCCAAGTCCTTTTGGGAAATAAAGCAGGCAGGGCCTAAATAGAGAGCCTGTAGGCAGAAACCGCGTGTGCCTCTGACCTCTCACACAGGTGGGCCTGGCGGAACGGATGCATCCCAACTCTGCCCGGAGAACCGGCCCTCTCCCCATGCCCCTGTGCTTGTGACTTTCCTAACACACCTGGGAGCCCCTCTCCCTCCCTCCCTGCCCTGTGAGGGATCACGTTCATGACGTTGAATTAATTGTATAATTCACCTAATTGACAGTATTGATTGATGGCCCTGTTAAGAGTGGCGTGTTATTGTTGGTACAGCAGTAACATTTATTTTATCCTGACACTGTAATTACAGGCAGTAAATTAAATTAAATATTAAGCATTAACTTGAAATCAATAGGGCAACAAATCTCATTAAGAGAAAAAATGTATTATGCAAATTCTTTCCAGAATTTTATCATCATGAATAATGGCTTCATTATAAGAACTGTACAGCTTAGGAGAGGCAACTGCATTGGAAAGAAACAACACCAGTGGCTTCTGATTTCAGAGTTAACACAAAGAACGCTTGCACTGTCGGAGTCCAAGAGGCCTTGCCCGAAAGCCCGGGAAGCCCTGAGCGGCCACGGCCAGAGTCACGCTCTCCCCGACTTGATTAGGTTTTGTCCTCGGAAATGGCTCTAGGCCAGGACCGGCACAGGCCGGGCTTCCTGCTCTATCTGTCTTCCCCGTCATGCCTGATTTCTTGTTTCTGTTTCTTATCCAAATTTGCCTTGCCCTTAGGAAAACCTATGACTTAGCCCCAGCCTTCACCGGGTGAGGGAATTCATCCAAAGAAGGCAACAGAAGGTGTTCCACGGTAGAAAGATCGGCTCTGTCACTGACACGGTGATCACTGTTCCCTCTCCTGCTCTTTCCTGGCTGTGTCACAGGCCCCTTGTTTCCACAACCTGTCACTTTGCTCTTTTTCTCTGCCCACTGGCCTCCTCCAGGAGTCCCCAGAGAATCTGGGTAGGTCTCCTTATAAGTCCGAACTACTGTCCAGCAATGGACGGCTTTACCTACCATTTCTTGAAAAGGAAAAAAAAAGGGAGCTGTAAGGATGTTCCCAACAGATAGATTCTCTGTTTGTTTATTTGCATCTTGCTCTTCTTTGCCCCCATCCATTCCAGACTGAGGAGATAGGCTCCTCATTCTCAGCTCGGTGCGCCCAGCATGCACAATGCCCCCCTGCACGGGCCGTGAGCACACGGCAGTCGCCTCTCAGTCCAGCTGGCTGACACCCTCTGCTCACTTCTCTCTGCTAAGTATTTCCTGCTACAGCTGAAAATTTCCAGAAGAAAACATGTGCGACCCAGAAAGGAACCGAACACAAAGTCCCTGTGGAAAGGTCTGGCGCTGAGTAGCAGAGGCCACAAACAAAATATTTTAACTGGAACCAGGGGGGCTTGGACGATCTGACAAATGCCCTTCAAATGAGGATTTGGGAGCTCTCTTTGAACATAGTTTCCACTTGCCAATTGGGACTTAAAATAACAGGGTCAGCCCCACTTCATTGAAATTTGTTTTAGAAACAGAACCTAATTGGATCACAGAACACAGTGGAACCCACCCTCAGACTGAAGCCCAGTAGCCCAGAATTCTCTCCTACCTAAGAGGTCACCTCGGATGCTCCCTTCACAAGAGTCACCCCTTACCTGGTGGTTGAGCCAGGAGCTGGGAATTTCTGGTCGTCCCCGATCTCTCAACACATTGTCCTTCATGCTTTCGACGCAGGGGTGCTCCCGCACCTTGGAACCAAAGGGAGGCTCATACTCTTTCACTTCTGAGAAGAAAGCAGACAAACAAAGGGCCATTAAGGAGGGTGTGTGTAGCTGGTGGATAGGAGCATGTTGGGAGGTCTGGTTGGAAGGCATGAGGCACTGCGGGTCAAAGTGTATCCATGATTGCTCTGAGCGCAGTTGTTCATAATCGTGGGTTAAAACAGGAAGGAAGGGGTGGTTGTGGAGGGAGCTTGAGAAGTATTCCACAAGTGACCACTGAGTGTTTGCAATGTGCCAGGTGTTGGGCCAGCAGCTGGGGACAGAGTGGAGAGCGAAACCAACAAGATCACCAAGCTTACATTTTAACACAGACATTCTCAATGGGGCGATGTTGCTCCAATGGAGCAAAACTGGTTCCTGGGAGGTCAAAACAGGCTTATATATTATAATGCTTCATAGCCCCGCAAGGGTCCATAGTACATCAACAGATTTCATATGTGGTGTTAGAGCTCATAGCAATATTCAGTCTAGAAAGGAAATTCTGATACATGCTACAGCACGGATGAACCTTGAAAATGTGAGGCTAAGTGAAATAAGCCAGTCAGGAAAAAAATAAATATTGTATGATTCCACTTATATGAGGTACTGAGAATAGATTAATTTATAGAGGCAGAATGTGGAACAGTGGTTGCCAGGATGAAGAGATCGAGGGCTAGTATTTAGTGGGCTATACCGTTTCAGTTGGAGAAGGTAAAAAAGTTCTGGAAATAAATAATGGCAATGGTTGCATAACATTGTGAATATATTTAATGCCAGTGAATGGTACACTTAAAAACGGCTAAAACTGTTTATATTATGTATACTTGCATGGGAATTAATGATCAAGAAAAAATGTCGACAAAGGCTCCTCAGGATAGCAATGATCAGGGGGGAGTTTGCAAAATGCTGTTTATTAAGATGACAGAGGGGAGAGATGTTAATAGCATCAACAGACAAAATTTTAAAAAGTACTTTTCCTTCCATGAGACATGCTGTAAAGAAAATAATAGAAGATGATGCCCTTTGCTAGGGCTTCAGGTTTCAACTAGGGTCAATTTCTTTATAGAAACTTCCTTGAATATCCCCCATGCCACCCCTGATCAGATGTCCTGGGCAGAGCTCTGGTGCAGCATGTGTTATATTTTAATATAATCACCTGCTTATTTGTGTCACCCAACGAGACTGTGAGCATTTGAGGGCAGATTCAGAGTTCCTCGCTCATTCTTATATTCTCAGCACCTGTGAGAGGGCCTCCCATACAATAGGCTCTCAATATACATTTGGTGAATGAGTGAGGGAATGAATGAATGAGTAAGCGAATGAATGAACTGTAGATCTTGTCCAAAGTAGCAATGCATGAACTCTGGATATTGACACAGCACACTAATTCAAGTGGGCGGACTGATATACACGTCAGGGAGGCGCAGGACGGAGACTCCACTACAAAAACATGTTTGAGCTAAAAGGGGAGAGTGGGCTAGATTCAACATTTTTCTCCCAAGGAAGTAGGACCTTTGGCCTATAGCTTTAAAATAGTCCTACTTAATGAGTAAAACTTTCACTCATTCATCCTCCCAGGCTAAGAGTTGAAGAAGCTTTCAAAGCAAAATGACATTTTGAAAAGGGATGGCTTGTTCTTGTTTGTTTGTTTGTTTGTGTTTTCCCCCTTTCCCAGAACCCTGCTTGCCTCCTTATCTCCTTCAGCCTCACCCAAGCAGGGCAGGATGTTTTCTTTTTGCATAGTTTGAAATACAGAGAAATTTGGAATGAAGGCCACCCATCAGAACTAGATGAGCACAAACCACCCTTCTGTGTGTCCACAGCATTTAACCCATACTGGTCCTGGGCTGGGATCTGAATTTCGATTTGCATGCTATTCCTATTTCTTTATTCCATGCTCTTGCCTTCCACCAAACTATAAGTCCCAAGGGAGAGGCTGCTTTGTGTCTTGCAATTGCCCACCTGGTGCCTAAAATTGTGCCTTATACATAGTAGGCTTTCAACCAATATGAGATGGGTTGAATTCAAGCAAAAGCAAAGGACTGAGAATCAGCGTTGGTTTCCAGTAAGGGTTTATTCTGAACTAATTCTCATCATTTATAAGATGGAGGGACTGGATTGAAGGATGTCCATGTCCCCTCCAGAGTTACCTTGTAACCCAATCTATTCAAATAGCATGGTACCCTCAAAGTGCCATGCCTTGAAGTAGGTATACTATACTATACTATATTATACTGTATTACACTCTGATAGCATTTGTATATAATCTCAATTGCTCCCTAGATAATGTATCAGTGCACTGATGCTCCATTTCCAACTCTTTTAGCTGTCATAGTTGGTGTGGCTGGCACCCTACCCAGACCCCTTCACCCAGCTGAGAGCGCCAGACTCCAGATGCCTGCTGCAGGATTTCCGTCCTAAGGGCTCACATCTTTACCATTCTCTCCACAATTGCCCTTGGCCGATGTGGGCTGCCTACCTTGGAGACTTCCAGAACATGACAGCCTCACCCCCAGGGGCAGCCTATAGCCAACGGCAAGTTAATGTGGGAGTTTTAAGAGTCTAACCCTCATGCCCAGAGCTCCCCACAAGATCAGGCTGAGGCTGGACCTCTCTCGAAACTACAGGTTTTTGAGCTCCTTCCTCTTCCTGCTTCTCTCACCCACACTCTCATGAGACCTTATTCTCACCGGGTCATTGCACAAATATCTTTGTGTTAGACTCTGCTTCTGGTAAAGCTGGCCTACGACAGCTGTCAAGGAAGTACTTTCTCCTTTCTCCCAAGGTCAGCCTCTTACCATCCGAACCTTTGCAAAGCCACCCCGAGGAAGCCTTGATGTGGCCTCTTCTGAAGAAAAGGAAAGTATTAGCCCATCAACGGTTCCCACAGCACGAGGCTCAGGAAGAGGGAGGGGGGTGATCGCAATCAGGGGAGAAAAATGCTGGGATCAGAATGAATCCCAGGTTTTGATGCCATGGCTGAGATTCCTTGAGAACAAAGAAAAAGTCTCCATTGTGGGGATTATAACCCAGGGACAGTTTAGTTCATTTGAAGCCCTAATCTTCAAAGTCACAAAAACCACAGCAGCTACTTTGATGGTAAATTCTATGGGGCCCATGGGGTATGGGTGAGAGTTGGGAGAAAATGGGACTGGGCAGCAGGTATGGGAATGTTTTTTTCTCTTAACAAAAAGAAGTCATGAAGGCCTCGGTGGAAAAGGAGATAAAAGCAGTAATCCTTTCCCAGAGCAAAGAGAATTTTAACCGCATTACTTCCGACTTTTCCTTAAACCTTGGCAAGTTGTGAGATTCCCTAGCACTCCTGGGGGATACGAGGCCTGCTCCATCTTTGACTGTGGCAGATTGTCTAGGGAAAGAAGGTCAAGGGTAGCCAGAAAGGGGCTGGCAAAGAGACGGACTCCCTGAGCCACACAGGGAGAGCATGAATCGCTGAATCTCCTGCCTCCTTCGAAGTTTAAATGAGGCAAGTCTAGGATGATCATCATTTCACCCAAATGGGCAAAATCCCTTGATACTGAAACGGTCTTTCAGGTTATGAACGGGGATGAGGATTTCAAGTACGTGCATGTTTTAAGCTGACCTTTCTTCCACTCTGAGAAAAGGTCTTATTTATATAACATATATTCTCTCAAACATGTAAGTTTGTTTTTTGTCTTATTATGAATTTCTGCAGTTCCTCTTCCTTTGCTCTTCCCCCTCATCTTGAACATCCTGCTCCCACCAATTTTCTTATCGCGCCCTCCCATGGGTAGAAAGGCGACCTAATGCCCGTGTGTGTCCATTCGCCTCTCAGTCACTGGCCTCCCGCCCGACTGTGGGGTCACGAAAGCAGCTCCAGGCAGCGCTGCCTTTCCGTTTTCCCTTCTGCGGCTACAGAGGCGATGCTGTTCTCTGGCCTCCATCAGGATGCGGAGGATGACCGCTCACAGACATGGTGCTGGAGGCCATTTCCTGGCGCCTCCTCAGGTCTTCTCAGAGTTCCTCAGAACACCACGGAGACTTCAACTCAGCGGGAGGAGGTGGCCACAGACCCCTGGGTGGAAGCTTGAACCCTCTAGAGGTGGCAGGAAGCCTCTGCCAGCCAGGCGGGCACCAAGGTCCTTCCTAGGACAGAACCTCACCCACTGAAACCCAGACAGTCCTGGGGGATTGGGCAGAGCTGGCGACTGGCACAAAGTTGGTTTTCAATGGCAGCGTGCTCCCCTCACTCCAGTCCTCCAGAGGCTGAGATGCTCATCCACTTCGGCAAAATGACTGGGGCCAAAGTACATGTCTTTTAGCCCTGTTTTTCATATTGCTTCTCAAAGTCTGTATATTTTAGAAAATGTAGGCTGTGAAAAACTACAAATTCATTAAATAGACAGGTAGAGACAAAAGCAAATCTCTCTCCACTTCTAACCCCCTGGTTCACAAAAGTGGCTTAGTTTGAATGGTGGGATTAAAAAGGATTTAAATTTTTTCCTTATTGTATACAGATCAGCACTTCCCAATCTATTTTTTTTTAATTAAAAAAAAAAAAAAGAAAAAGCAGGCGTTTTGTCCCCAGTTCACTGGGGACCGAGGCTTCGGTGAAACATGTTACACGTGAATTACAAGAATGCATGCCACTTGGGTAACAAGGCAACAGCACATTGTATTGTTACCAAACACCTACTCTCGGTTTCTGTCCTTATATTGCAAACTTCAGGCAACCAGTTTGAGGACTATGAACCTTCCACAGCATTGCTCTACGTGTTTTGCAAGGAACAGGAGTTGCGTCTTGACAGAGGAAATGAACACAAGTTATTAAAGATATTTTATGGGTTTCAAATGAGTCAGACAGAGAATAACGAAGAAGTGTCTTCAGAGATGCGATCCAACACCTCGTGTTACAGTTGAGAAAACTGAGGCCAAAGAGCGCGCTGGATTCCGGGAAGAGCACTCAGAACTGCCGACTGTATTACTGTTACTCTGATGAAATGGCTTTGCCTTTTTAGGAAGCTTGCAGGCTTTCCCCTCTCTA